CCCCTGGTGGTCAGTGCGCTCCCACAGGGGGAGTGCCGCTCAGCCAGAAGCTGGGCTCAGGGCTGGTGAGTGCAGCAGCAGTGGCAGGAGCCTCTCCCACCTCTGCAGCAGTGCTAAGAATGTGTGACTGCCGGCACTGTCAGTCAGACATCCCCAAAGAGCTACCGGACTGCGAGAGAGCATAGGACAGACTGAGGGACCCTCCTGAGTACACGAATTTCATGTACCAGGCCTCTAGTCTATAATAATAAAAGTGTAATATGCAAATTGACTGAACAGCCGAATAGCAGAACGACCATTCGGACAACTTTCCGGACGACCTTTCGGACGACCTTCTGGACAAAACCAGGGGCACAGCCACAGTGGCTGTGAGGGATCGAGGCAGCCGCCTGGGCTGTGAAGGCCTACTCTTGCACAAATTTTGCACATTGGGCCTCTAGTAGAATACAATGGTTAACGTTTAAGACTCCAGCATCAGTTTGTCTGATTTTAAATGCTGCTTTCCATGAACAAACTTTGTAACCTTGGCCAAATTACTGCATGACTCAGATTATAATACATGAAAGCAGGATGTGACATGTTTAGCAATATGTGTAGAGTTTAAACAATGTCATAGGAGCAGTCAATTAATTAGTGTTGGTTTTGTTGTTACTGTTATGATTATGAAAGGTTTTAAAGGACAAAAAACTGTAGACTTGAAAATGACCTTCTTTGGAACTTTAGGAAGACATATATCTTAGTTCTATAGCTTATTAATGAATCAATCAGATTTAATTAATTAAATTATTTCTAATACAACTGCTTATCTCATTGAATTCCAAAAAGTAGCTTATTACTTGGTACTATAAGACTAAATGTGAAACATTTTCCAAGTTTTAAGTGGATAATGGAGAAAGAAAATATATTAAGACTGTTTTATAGATCCTTTGGGGTTTTATTTGAAGAAATAATTATTTCAATATTCACTTAACTATGTTCAGAACTTAAAATACTTTGATCATTCTTGGTTTTAATGATGGCTTACTTGACTGTACTGCATTCAACTATATTATGAAGTAGAATATCTTTAAATTTCTAATTAGACAATAGTGCAGTTAATTACCCCTTAAAAGCTTATATGAATACAGAATATGAATATTTGATTCTATTTCCTAAATATTCAAGTCAAACTTTATTATAGGTAGATTAGTCATTTATAAATAAATTAGACATGGCACTTTTTCTATCTAAATATGAAGTCCTTTTCAGTTGAGGTTTATTGTGCTTGAGACTACTGTCCTGAAATGAGAATATAAAACTTTATATCCAAAGGAATGTGTTTAGGATGCCATCTTGTTCTTTCTGGAAAGTGCTATACTTCTATATTCATGTTAGCAAAGATAATATTAGATAAAGGGAATTGAAAATGTTAAGCTCATATATAAGTGGAAGTTTAGAATCTTTAATTAATCTTTTATATTTCTTTATTTAAAAATAAGGAAGGGATATGATTTTTGTATTATAATTATTCCAGAAAAAAGCTTTTCTCCCTGAAACATTTTGCTTTATACTAACTTTATAAAAATGATCTTAATAGTTTCCTATTTGTTAGTGAGAAGTTACTGAGTTTGTGCTATGAACAGCCTTCTAAATGAAGAGTAAGAGAATGAGACTAAATATCACCACAGCTATGTTATACTATCAAGGTCCCTGTGTATAGGGCCTACTGAGATTTAAGTTCAAATAGGAGAATTGAGATTTCCTGTCTGTCAGAAATAACTGTCAAATACTGGGGAGGGATCCCCTCCATATAGGAACTACTGAAAATAGAGCTGAAATACTGCTCCTAAACATTTTTTTAGGAACCGAGTGCAAACATAAAGCACACAAAAATTCAACCAGTTGTTGAAGGAATTTTAAGCCTGGGGAGTCCTGTAGAGCCTAACCTAACACCAAAACCCAAATCCAAGTCAATTATTTCGTCAATACCCATAAGAAAGTATATAAACAGAAGAGGAAGTATACTCACTTTCAGGCATAAATTCTATTTACCATATATGATAAAATAGTTTAGTAATGTATGGTGAAAAGGAATAAATAGCAATGTGTAAAACCTTTCTGGATAAAATTTAAAGACTTCATAAATATATTAAAAATATCTTAAATGTAGATATATACTATTTAGTTAAATAAAAAGCTTAATATTATAGCAGATTTTAACTTTCTCCAAATTGATATATAGATTCAATGCAATCATATTAAAATCATGAATGTGTTTTGTAGTATTTGATATGGCTAGTCTACAATTTTGATATAAATACAAATGTCTAAAGATAGCCAAGTGACTTGATTTTAATATGATTGCATTGAATCTATATATCAGTTTGGAGAAAGTTAAGACAGAGATGGAATTGGCAGATGAAGAAAGTCTCTTTTTTTTGTTGTTGTGGTTGTTGATGCAAGCATCTGATCAAAAAAGGAACTGAATTTTTACCTCAAAAAATATACAGTTAAAAATTCAAAGAAAATATGTAAATATATAGTACACTAAATGTTCAAAATACAGCACAAGAAAACATATTTATGATGATTACAGGACATGTTATACAGGATAAAAAATTAAACAGAAGCACTCTTGCTAGTATGGCTCAGCTGTCTGAGATCATCTCATACATGAAAAGGTTGATAGTTTGATTCCCCAGGTCAGTGCACATGCCCATGTTGCAGGCTCAATTCCCAGTAGGGGGCTATAGAAGGCAACTGATCTCACATTGATGTCTCTCTTGCCCTCTCCCTTCTTCTCTCTCTAAAAATTAATTAAAGAAATCTTTAAAATATTTTAGAAAATATTCCTAAACTAGAGGCCCGGTACACAAATTTCATGCACTGGGGGTAGGGGTGTTCCCTCAGCCCAGCCTATGCCCTCTTACAGTTCAGGATCCCTCAGGGGATGTCTGACTAAGGGCTCCCTATGGGGAGCAGGCCTAAGCCAGCAGTTGGACATCCTTGGCACTGCCATGGTGGCAGAAGAGACTCCTGCCACCGCTGCTGTGCTGTTCAGCTGTGAGCCTGGCTCAGGGCTTCTGGCTGAGCAGCACTCCCCCTGTGAGAGCACACTGACCACCAGTGGGCAGCTCCTGCATTGAGCATCTTCCCCCTGGTGGTCAGTGTGCCTCATAGCAACCGGTTGTTCTGCTGTTTGGTAGATTTGCATATTAGCATTTTATTATATGGGATTATCCAACATTAACAACTTCAACATATTAAAAAATATGTAAGGAAGTGGAAAGAAGCACCACAAACTATAGGAAGGCATTTAACTGTTGAAAGATTAGTTACTAAATATAAAAATAATGTTTATAAATTAACATGAAAAGAATAAACTAAAAAAAAAGATTTTCAAAGAAGAGAAAGTAGAAATTGCCTATCATTTTGATAGATAGATAAAGATAGGTAGGTAGGTATGTAGGTAGGTGGGTAGATCTATCACAATAGTATATCAATAATCAGGGTAATATAGAGTGACACCTGTGCTAAAGGTAGGCACTGTTTTCTATACATGAAATGAACATCTTTGAGAAAACAGATGTTGGTAATGGCTAGATGTGGAGTAGCAAGCACTGCAGGTGGAGTGTTAATTGGTAAAACTGCTTTAAAAAACTGAGCACACCTTAAAACCTGAGGATTCCACTCCTAGGTATCTGACACAGAGACCTTTATAATTCTGCACCATATAGACTGAGTGGCCAGATTATTATGACCACCTGATGTTTGTAGGCAAATTAGCTATAATTTTGCGCTGAAGTAACTAGAGGGCCAGACCATTATAAACGTCTGAATAGCACAACATACCTAAGTATTGTTGCTGATCAAGTTCATCCTATCATGTTTATGGTGTATCCCAGTGGAGATGGCTTCTTTCAACAAGACAATGCGCCATGCCATGGTGCTCGTATTGTGGAGTGGTTTCAAGGACATGAGGGAGACTTTACCTTGCTTAGGTGCCCCCACAATCACCAGATCTCAATCCAATTGAGCATTTGTGGGACGAAGTTAAAAGAGACATCAGGCAGCTGGTTCCACAACCATCAAATCTCACAGAACTGGACAGTGCTATTCATCAGGCATGGTGTCAGATTCCTCGCATCACCTTTCAGCATCTCGTGGAGTCAATGCCAAGAAGAATCGCCGCAGTATTGAAGGCAAAAGGTGGCCCAACAAAGTACTGATGGGGTGGTCATCATAATCTAGCTGATCATAATAATCTGGCCACTCATTGTATATATATGAATGTAAATGTCAGCATATGTATCTTTAACATAGCTCTAAACTTGAACAGCTCTCTCTTGCCCTGGATCACATTATAAGGCTATTTCCATAAGGATTTATTTTATTGCAGTGCATTTCTTTTAAAGCACATTTCTTTCAATAGCACATATGTGTTTTCATATATTATTTACACGTTTGTTACATACTTTAAAATTTTTAATTATATTTGGTAATTATTTTATGTATAGGGTTTCCTGAAAAAAATGTATACACACATTTTGAATAATTATAAAGGCAGTGTTTATTAAAATACATTTCATTTTCAAAATTGAGCAATCAGTTGTTAATATTTGTATACATTTATGGGAACTCCCTATACATACTTGCTTACATATATATATTACTAGAGGCCTGGTGCACAAAAATTTGTGCACTCGGGGAGGAGGAGGGGTCCCTCAGCCCGGCCTGTGCCCTCTCGCATTCTGGGACCGCTCAGGAGATAACAACCTGCTGGCTTAGGCCTGCTCCCGGGTGGCAGAGGGCAGGTCCAATCCCTAGGTGCAGCCCTGGTCGGGCTCAGAGCAGGGCCAATTGGGCAGTTGGGGTGCCTTCCCCTGTCATGCACAGAGCAGGGCAGATTGGGAGGTTGCGATGCCACCCTCAGTCACAGGCAGGGTAGGGCCGATTGGGGGGTTGGGTCACCACCCCCTGTCACACTCAAGGCAGGGAAAATGGGGAGGTTGAGGCGCCACCCTGTCAAGCCCAGAGCAGGGCCAATCATGGGGGATAGGGCTCTGTACCCTGTCACTCAAAGAGCAGGGTTGATAAGGGGGTTGGGATGCTGCCCCCTGTCACACACAGAGCCGCAGGGCGATCAGGGGTTTGGGCGCTAACCCCTGTCATGCTGATCCCGGTGCTGGGAGCCATATTACCCTTTTACTATATAGGATAGAGGCCTGGTGCATGGGTGGGGGCTGGCTTGTTTGCCCTGAAGGGTGTCCTGGGTCAGGGTGGGGGTCCCCACTGGGGTGCCTGGCCAGCCTGGGTGAGGGGATGATGGCTG